GCTGCGAGCTCAAGAATCTGCAAAGGTCCGCTTTTGTGGATGCTTTCATCTCACCATGCGTGGCATCCGTTCATGACGATGGCCCGTCCGCCGCCGCGCCGTTTCTCTCATCCATACCGCCCGCCGCACCAGTGGCAGCAGCAGCAGCAGTGGTCACTCATGGCCACGGCGAGCAGCTCACGCGCCGAGAGCCTCTCGTCCTTGCGATACTACCGCTACGTCAGAGATGACAGCCCGGATGACCCCTCACTCTACGGCGAGATCAGCCAGAGCGGCGAGGCCAGCAGCGATGCGGTGCTCGGCTCTGTAGTGTTGTCGTTTGATATCGACGGGACGCTGGCGAAGATCGAGAGGCGACTGGCACTCAGACCGGGCAGAAGGGGCAGCGATGGATTGGTACGTCTGGACAGACAGGACAGAAGGAAACACGGGACGTCCTGTGGCGTTTCGTACATGCGTACGCGTTTGTGTGTGTGTGCCTGTGTGTGTGGTCAATCAGGTCCATCGCAGCCAGGCGGATTGGGATGTGATACTGAGTGGCGACAACTACCACCTCGATGAGGTCAGTCAGTCAGTGACTCACTCATGGGCACACGAGAGAGACTCTCCAGTCGCATCACACGCATGCCTGCCTCGTGTGCTGTCATCTGTCGCTCTGGTGCTGCGTCATCGACACGGCAGCCGATTCCTGAAGCCCATGGTACGAACAGCCCGGCCAATGATCGATCCACCCATGGCTGAGTCCGCTGCTGTGCTCTCTCTTGTTCGTTCAGCTTTCCTGCAGCAGCTCGTCCAGCGTTTGACCAGGCACCACCCAGCTAGTCCCTCCCCACCGCCCGAGGATGACCCTCCCTCTTTGCCCATCACCATTGTCTATCTCTCGGGCCGTCGGACAGGCACAGAGGTGCAGACCTCACAGTGGCTGGCGGCCCATAGCTTCCCTCACGGCGTCATATTCCACCGCCCCAAGGGCTTTAAGGCGGGCCGCTTCAAGGAGCGTGTGTTGAGGGGTCTGCACCAGCCGCCGATGAGGCACGTCATGGCCCATGTGGGCGACCGGCCGCTGGAGGATGCTCTGGCCGCCGTCAAGACAGGCAGGCAGACACACACACACACAGACAGCGGCATGTGGTGTGTGGGCGGCTTTGTGTTGCGTGTGTGTGCAGGTGTGCGGCCCGTCTTGGTCGCCCCAAACGAGTGGACGGGCCGTGCCCACAATTCGGCGTCCCAGGAGTGCAATCGGCCGGCTGCCAGCGGATGGGTGGCGAGGTCGACGCTCGAGGGCGTCGTGGTGGCGCTGCTGGACGCCGAGATGCGGGAGGGCAAACAGACGTCGATGAGCTCGTGGGAGGTGGCCGAGGGGCACTCTCTGCTGCGGCAGTCGCCCCACTGGTCGAGTGGCTCGTGTGCTGACTTCTTCGACCTCAATATGGCAGCGGAATTCTGGACCCATGTCAATCAGACAGAGGGGCGGGGGTGTGGTGGGCCGCTGAGTGAGCTGTGTTAGTGGGGCGGGATGAGGATGTGTGCGTGGAAGTGAGGGACTCAGTGTGGCGACAGACTGTCGGTGTGTGTGGACAGACAGAGGTGTGTGAATGAATTGTCCATCGAATGCACTGACTGTCGATGTGTTCGTTGAGCGCTTGAAGAAAGCTAGACAGTCACATTCATCTCCAGGGTCAGAGTCCACCACCATGCTCAGGCGAACACACTTCATCCATCCATCCATCCATACCATGTCAGTCTGCTTACTATGTCATGTGCCGCTCTCTCTCGTCTTCGCCTTCTGCCCTCCCTCACCCAACCGACCGAAAACAACCGACTCACTGAGCCTCACTGCTGCTGGGGTTTGTCGGCTGATCAGTCGAGGGAGGGGGAGAGGCCGAGGACAGAGAACAACGGAAAGAGACCGAAAGAGGCAAGAGCGCCCGATGCAATGACATCAGATGCACGGTCATGGGCAAATCCGCTAAAAGTGTCGAGGCCAGAGGCACATACGCACACGGACACACACTGGTCCCTGTGCCTTTGCCCCCTGTGCACGCACATAAGGTATGTGAAAGGATAGCAGATAGATAGTCTGTCTACCCTGCCCTCCCTGCACCTCACTTGGCCCTCAATTTCAATGTCAGGCGATACCACTCACACTTGGTATCTGCTGAGTCGAAAGTGTAGTGTGCTGCGACCTGCCTGAGGCAGTCCTCCATGAACGAGCGGAGGCCCGCCAGTCTAGAGGTGCAACTGTCCCCCGTCAACTCACTATCATTCAAGTCAGCAACCAAGCGGACACTCACTGGCCGCAGAGCTAACGCTAGCTTGATGAATTCCCTCACGCCGGCCTTGCTGCTCAACCCGAAACTTCCAGAGGTCAGGTGGTGGATGAGAGGGCAGCGACCACTCCCTGAGAGTGTGTCAGGAGCATCCTCCGGCCACTCGCACACCACAGGCCCATCCCACTGACCACCAACCGTGACCTCGTCTAGCTGATCTACGGACAGGCAGCAGAGAAGCTCATGCGCAGCAGCGAAGCTAGACACATCAGTGATGTCGACACGCTTGAGAGTCGTCAGCCCGCCCAAAAGCGGGCTGAGCTTGCTGCGGGCGGCATGCACGTCAGCCAGGGACAGCGAGGCAGGGAAAACCGTCATGTGCTCGACAGCGGGGAAGTGTCGGCTGGTCGACTGCTGCCCCTCTCCCTGCCTCTCGGTCAGCCATGTGGGGATGCTGTCGACCACTTCTGATGCGCTTGCGCCAGGCTTGATGTTGAAAGTGAGCTTCTTGGCCTTGTGGAAGATGAGCTTGTGACGCCACGACTCGTCCAGCGGAGTGCCACCAAACTTGACCCTCACCTGACACACACAGCAGACACGCAGGTGTGGTCCTGTCAGATGGTCTCCCTCCCTTGTCTGGCCCATTCCTGACATGTGTCGCATTGGCCGCCAGCCACGTGGCGATCTGTCCGTATAGGCCGTCGGGCGCCGGAGGGGCAGTGGCAGCCGTCGTGCTGCAGTAGATGGTCAGCTTGCCCAAGCAGACTGGCCAGCACTCAATTTGGCAGTTGACGTCCGCCGCCCATTCGCTGACGCCCGCTACGACTGCCGCCCCCTTCCCCCGCCCGTATCTCACACCGATCGACGAAATGTCCTCAACCACGATCCCCAGCTTCTTCGGCACCTCTGCAAGGGGTGAGACAGACAGATCACTCGCCGCCCTGAATGAAATGCTTGGGTGCTTCTGGTCCCGTACGTCTCTTGTCTGCTTTGCTCCAGTGTTGGCTGAGGGTGTCCTTGAGCTGGCTGATGATGCGGCCGAGCTGCTCAAAGCGGACCCGGAAACCCAGCCGCTCGATCTTGGGCGACTTGTCGAGCAGACGCACCAAGGAGTCAGCATCCACACTGATGATGTGGCCGACTTGGAGCGTGGTGAGTGCCGGGAACCTCCACCCGAGATCACTGCAGACACACAGACGTCGTCCTAAGAGATGAATGACTACGCTATGGCGTCAACGCTGACTCCCCTGACAAAAGTACCTGATGTAGGCACGACCTGCAAGGCCACGGATGTGAAGGTGTGTGGCGGATGAGAACACGATGGGCCCGGCAGCCGACGTCCGTGAGCAGTAGTTGATGTCCAGGGTGATCTTCTTGAGTGAGTCCTTGTTGGCCTCCAGCAGCTCCGACAGCACAGGCGGCACCTCTCGGGCGTCCACAAAGGCCGTCTGCATCATGCCCTGCACACACACACATCGACAGAGCGCTGCGTACACACAGACACGCTCCCGCCATGTCCCCGTGTGAGGCCTCTTACCGCTATATGTGCGGCACCTTCTTGACTATGCAGGCATCATCTGCCACAGAGATGTCAACGAACTTGCCGAAGAGGCCAAGAACGTGCTGCACTTTCTTGAGCTTGCGGTAGCTGTCTTCCTCGTCAGGCGTCATGGTGAAGATGCGGAAGACGCCCTACGTCTGGTCGGTGGCCTTCATGTAGGTCTCCCTGTTGACGCGCGAGAGGCGGCGGATGTTGTCGATGGTGGTCAAGAAGGAACCCATGTGGCCCATGACGGCTGCAGGCAGACCCGACAGACACGGACGGCCGTGGTCCTTCTGACACATAGGTTGAGAAACGTGAGAGCAGCGACCGCCATATAAGCTTTCGCGTGCGTGTGTGTCACCTCTGAGCGGGCGCCCTGCTGCTGTGTCGCTGCTGCACCAACACACCCACCAACCGAACCTGCTGAAGGCACCACACAGCACCGCCATACACGGACGTTGTCACGTGTTTGCACCCCATCAGTGTGTGTGGGTACCTCCACTACTCGCAGCAGCAGCCGGCGTGTCTACACGGCTACGCTTGCCATCGTCACCAACAGCCACCTGAACACGTGACGTAACGGTGTCCACCCATATGTGTGGTTCGGCCTGTTGGTGATACCGCCTTGCTGTGCTGTGCGCCATCATCGGTCTGATCCAGACCCTCAGACTCGAACGCCCCACTGTCAGTCGCATTGCCCTGACACAGACAGACAGACAGACAGGCCAGGGAACGATCGCCCTGTGTGAGCCCTCCACTTGTCGTCCCAATCGTACATGTGTTTTATGGGTTATGTGGTCAGTCGACGTCTCTGTCAGCTGCTTGTTGAGGGCCGATTGAGCGTCAGTGAGGACGTCCAGAATGGACGACAGGCTGCCGGCCAGCAAGGCACCATCCTGCAGGCCACAGACAGCCCGGTGAATGACAACTGAGTGCCGCTGTTCGGCTGTGTGTGGTGTTCCGTGTGGACCTGTGATTTATTGTCGGTGTGTGTGGCTATGATGTTCTCTGCCCGCTCAAGATCAGACGCAAACTGAGGCACGAACTGCAAGCAAATGCAAACACAGCGAATGGCACTCCTTGCTGCATGTCATGTGTAGACCTCTTCTCTCTCCTCCTTACCGAACGCATCAAACGTATCTTCTGCAGAATATCACGAGAGCTACCGCCGCCGTTCGGCCCGCCGCCCTGCCCACCTGAGCACAGTGTGCGGCCGGTCAGTCACACCGGTGCGTGTGTGTGGAGGTGGTGTGTGTGACCTGCAGCAGCAGAGGCGGCCGGGCCGTCATGTTTGTCTAAGTCCATCAACCCGCCGTCAGCCATCTGAGCTGTCGCTACTAAGTCGCTACAAAACCTCACAGCTCACCACCACTGACAAACACACCAACACGAACACAGCCGCAGTTCCAAACGTCGTTCTCTTTGTTTGTTTCTCTGCATCTCGTCTGCCCTGCTGCCCGCTTACAGTGTCTGCCTTCCTCTGCCTGTCTGTTTGCTTGCCTGTCTGTCAGTTTGGCTGATGGTCAGCGCCGCTCAGATGAGATGACAGTGATCAAAACATCGGCCTGCATTCCACCGACATACATCCTTCTCTGCGATACGTCAATCGCCTCAAGTGCATCGCTCCCCCTTCGGGAGCTCGCAGCGTAAACGGAAGGAGCAGTCAGAGGAAATGGGATGAAGCGGCAGAAGGGCCCGGTGGTGGCCTCAGCAGCCGCCTCCAGCGCTGCTGGTTCGGCCAACCAGCCGCCCCGTTTGTTCCGCCTGCCCCAGGACGTCGAACAGCTGTTTTTCTACCCCCTTGACACGCAACGGTTTCAAAGTGCATTTTTTCAACATCGCCGCTCTCCACCGCACAAATTCATCCTCGGCAGTCTTACCGAACATTTTCATTCGTTTGGTCGCCCGATGCAATTTTTCATCCTATTTCCTCGACAAGACCGCACATTTTCACTGTCGAGGCAGCTCTCAAGGGCATCCTGAGGAGCACACAGTGTGCTGGAGCTTGAAAAAGTGTCTGATCACCCTGTACTTTTACATCTACATGTCTCTCCACCGCTTCTTTTCAAATGTCTCGCTGTCTCCCACTGCACGTTTTCAATATTCGCTGCCTCCACCTCATCTTTTCATTCCGGGCGGTTGCCCGCCGCACATTTTCAAAAAAACAGACATGCACACCGTTTCGTGTCCAGGGGGTATGTTTTTCCCTCCGTGCGGGGCTGACGGCCTGGCTCTCTTTCGGCACACATGCCCCCTCGGCAGCCGCCGTGTGTCGGAGGACTACATCAAATCGCAAATCGACCGCCTGCTGGTCGCCAAGGCCATCCATTCAGCTATCGGGTGCCGCGGCGGGCGCGGATGCGGCCGATGGACTTCTTGCTGCGGCTGCTGGTACACACATCGACGCACTCCGACTCTCACATTTTGTGTGTCTGTTGTCATGCCTGTGTGTGTGGCAGTATGTCATCGAGAAGAGCGGCGAGTGGGCGGGGTGGGAGCCCATAGTGAGGATGGCGGAGCGTCGGCGGCGGGTGGGGCGGCTGCCGATAGAGGTGGGCAGTGCTGATGTGGAGGGTGTGGGCAGCCGGGCGGTCTTCGACGGGCGGTGTGAGGCGCTGCGGCAGCTCTCACTCATCGGCTGGCACATCGGCATGACTCTCGAGCGCGACGACAACGGCGAGGAGCGGCTGAATGGGCATCTACTGACCATCCGCTCACTGCAGACGCTGCCGGCCAACAGCCCCTTCCACAACATATTCGACCCAAACAACCCCGTGTGTGAGATTGACAGTGGGAGAGGGAGGGAGGGCATGACGGAGAGAGCTATTGGTGCCTGTGTGTGTCTGTCCGTTTGCAGGTGCCGACTACGCTTCAATTCGCGACGCTGTGTTGCATCGGTGAGCAGGATTAGTAGAGTGATACAAACGAAGACATATACACATTGGCTGCACCGCTCTGCCATGATGTGTCTGATCAGGGTGCGTTCGGGAACGTCGGTGGTTGCGGACCAGACTGTCCATCAGCACAACAATGCCCCACGCTACAACCGACTGGTCAGTCAAGTCAGCCACACACACACACGACAGCCTCACCGGCCGCCCCACTCACTCATTGTCATATCTATCCTTTTCTCTTCAGCGGGAGCTGACCACTCAGCAGCCGCCCGTGTGGAACTGCCACACTGTCAGCACGATTCACCGGCCGCCAGAACTCTTCGGCCGTGTGATAGTGCTGCACGGAGACCAGCCCGACCACCAATTCGAGGCAACCATCATCATCAGCAGCTGCCCCGACGTTGCCACCGCCCACCTCTGGACGACGGAGCCGCCGGTGGCTGGCAAGGAGGGAGCCGCGAAGTTCCCACAGTGAGGGTGGCGCGGCAGGTGATGGGGGCCGATACACAGGTGGCGTTCGGAGACCACCTAGACGTAGCCGTAGACTGACTGACTCATTTCTCAACTCTCGACTGAACAGACAGCCTCCCTCTCCGTCTGTCTTTGTGTCTGTCTGGCTGACCACGGCAGCAGATGGGAGGCAGGCCAGGCTGGCTATTCGACAGACAGACAGACAGACAGATGAGTTGGCGGATGCATCATGGATGGTGTGGCTGCCTGCATGAGGTGTTTTCCGTATCAATGCATCGAGTTGGGGGGCGGTGGGGGAGTACGGGGGGAGGACTCGAATGGATTGACACACTGTCTGTCTGCTTGCCTCTCTGTGTGTGTGACGCGTTTTCTAAATGAAAAGATGCAATCAATTGGGACACTCTGCCTGCAACCATGAAACAGAGTGTGACGGATGGACACCGAGAAACGTTCATCACAGACACACAAACACGACGGATGTCAATGTCAGTCAGTGTCCCATGCACCCCATCCACCAGTGAGTCACACCTGTCTGCCTGCCCACACACAAATGCATCCATTCGTCCCCCCATCCATCCCTCTAGCGTACACACACGTGCGACCCACATGACATGACGAGACAAACGCTTCACAGACAGACAGGCGGACGGCAGTCATCTCAGATGAACGAATGAATGAGCGCTATGTAACTGAGTATGTGTGGCCAGAGATGCCGGCGGGGGGTTGGATTGTGTGCCGATGGTCCCCTGAAGTCACTTCACTATTTCCAGTAGAGGGCCCATTTGTGGAGCTTCTCCATGACCACGGGCGAGAGGGCCGACACGCTCTCGTTGATGAGCGTCAGGAAGTAGCTCTCGGCCGACTCGTCATTGAGATCCAAACGAAACTTCTCCTGCAGGCACCACACACACACACCAGGGACACACACACGAATGGACGGCCACACCCTACCCACTGTGGTGTGTTGCCTACCGACCTGCACTTTGAGGATGGACAGCTCCGGTTTGTGTGTGAAGTCTTTGATGCCCGAGTCGCTCATGAGTGACAGCAGGTTGAGGATCAGCTTGGCGTCACGACGCAGCAGCTTGTACGCCTGACAGCACTTGGCCCGGAAATCGCGGTACCCTACTCACACACACAATGGACAGACACAGAGAGAGACACATGTCTTGCCTGTCTGTCTGTCTGTCTATGTGTGTGTGTGTGTGTATGAGGTACCAGGCGATGTGGTGCCGCCCATGGCCTCCACCATCTCCCTGCAGAGCTTCATAGGTGGCGGGAAGAGCTTGGGGTCCCTGCCGAGGATGAAGCCGAAGTCGATGTGGAAGAGGTGGCCCTCCTGGTCCAGCAGAATGTTCTCCAGGTGGCGGTCCCCCACGCCCAACAGATACGTCAACACACAATAACCTAATCACACACACACATAGATGTGCGTGTGTGTGTTCGTGTGTGTGTGTGTGCCCACCCACCAGCGCACGAGCGGATGAAGTTGTCGAGCACTTGTGGTTTGAAGCCTGTGGGCGATGAGGGGTCCGGGTGGTGGCGCGTGAAGAACTGCCGGATGTCGTTGTTGTAGTCGCTCAGAATGGCCGACAAGGCGGACGCGCCGCTGACAAATTCGATCATCCCGTCGCTCGGCGACGTGGCTATCACCTGCACACAACACACACATCCACTCATCCCTCCCTCCATCCAGAAGTAAGTGGCCTGCAGCCTAAGACGTTAGTGCCTTGTATGGTGTGAGCTTGAGGTCGAGTCCATATTTCTTGAGTAGGCTGTCCATGAGGATGATCATCTGCACCACCAGCTGGTCCTGCCGCAGGTCGTCGCCGTACTTGAACATGTACCTCTTCTTGACCTCACGGCCGTACACCACACCAAAGTGACGACCTCCAGCTCCAGCCGTGTGCTGGTGGCTCTCGGTGGCACTGGCCCCACCACCACCACCCTGCTGCTGCTGCTGCTGCTGGTTGGTGATGTCACTGCAGGCGGGCTCCTGGTGGATGACTGTGCATGACAGCACCACCGGGTACATCGACGAACGCACCTGAGAATCGGCACATAGACACACACGGACATCATATCAGACGCCCCCCTCTGTGCCGTCCGTCACACAGCCAGCCCCACGCACCACGTAGGACTCCTCAGGGATGACCCACAGCAGCTCAACGTCAGGGTCCACAGGCAGCGGAATGCTCGCCGGCGGCTGGGAGAGGTCGAGTCCGTTCTCTGAGGGGCTCATGGCCCGCAGGATGGCCTTGTCGGCGTCGGGGATCATCACGGGCGATGTCGCCACCAGCGCCGCCCGGAGCTTCTCGATCTTCTTCTCTATCCGCCGGTTCTGCCGAGCCACACGAGTCGCCCACAGGAGCTTGTACCTGTCACCGACAGACACACCATACACAGAGAGAGAGATGGGTCTGTGTGTGTGTGGCTGTCTGTGTGTGTGTGCGGCCGCACCTGAGTTCGCTTTGCCTTCTGAGCATTGTGAGAATGGTCTGCTCGTGTGGGCTCATCTTGAGGAGGGCATCCATGAAGCGCAGGTAGGCTCGCAGAAACAGATGGCCGTTCTCGGGGTCATCCACCTCGCACAACAGATACCTACACACACACACACACACATCCACACAATCGGGCCTCTCCCTCCCTCCCTCCCTCCCTCCCTGTGTGTGTGTGTGTGTTGGGTGGCTGACCAGTGAAGGTACGTCGACAGGGTTTTGCTCCTGACCGCCCGGCTGATCAGAAAGGTCGTCAGCGGGGGCGCCTCAGCGTTTTGGTCCTCATAGCGAATCGCCTGTCAGTCGATAGGCACATCCATCCACTCGTCACCCAGACAACAAACACCCCAGGCACCCACAACACCTGGCTCGGCTCACCTACCTGCACCAGCTGCAGCAGGTACAGCCGCAGCTCGCTCTCCGATGCCTTCTCGAGCGTGCCGATGGCGTACTGCCGCAACGCGGGCATAGCGAACTCGCGCGAGAGCAGCTCCAGAGCGTCATCCAGCGCCGGACGCTCCCACTTCTCCAACATCTACACAACACAACGACACAATGAGTCCCGATCAGCAGGCGACGAGACGAGCAGATCGACAGACAGACTGACCTGCAGCGCGTGTCCCCGTTCGTTGGGGTCGGCCCAGTCTACGGCGTGGAGGAACTTGGTGAGCGCGTGTTTCTGCCCGACGAGGGTCCACCTGTACTGCCAGAGGAGCGACTTCTCCTCGGCCGTGAACCGCCGCCGCGGCGACTGGATCAGCTCCTGCAGCTTGCGCATCTCAGACGCACTCGGCCGGGCGTCCTTGCCGCCTACAGGCAGCAAGGCAAGACAAGACACAGAGAAGGGATGCATCAATGGAGAAGGAGAGAGAGGGGGGGAGGGAGAAGGGGAACGGTACCCAGCTGTCCGGAGACCCAGGGCCCTCTGGCGAGTTTGTGGTACTTGAGGCTGGCCGGCGCCTCTCGATGGGCGTCGTAGTCGACGAAGTACACCACGGGCGTCGCGCCACCCAGACGACGCTCAGCTGACACAGCATACACACACACATACACACACACATAAACACCCACACAGAGACATGGTGTAGATGCGCGCTCGCGTGTGTGACGGGTGTGTACCTGCGCGCGACACGATGGCACGAGGCTGCCGCGACCGGTCGCGAGAGCTGACGGGCGCGCCAGACGGCTGGGACGCCTTGGCCGACTTGCCTGTAATGTCAACGCACACACACGCATCAATCCATGAGGGCACAGCTGCGTGTGGGCAGAGCAGATGGAGTGTGTGGTTCTTACCTTTGGTTGGATCGGTGGGCGGAGGGAGCGGCTGCATGGGCGGTGTGTCGGCCGAGGACCGCACGTGCTGGTCCTTGACGGCCGTCCCGCCAACCACCTTCTGACGCTCCTCGCTCTCAGCTGGCTGACCCGTCGGAAACGCCTCACCCTACACACAGACACAAACCAACCACACACACACACGTGTGTTTCTGTCTCTCCTCCACAAAGGTGCACACGGATGTACGTACCTTGGCGCCATTGACGAATGTCCAGCTCCTGAGGAACCAGTCGGGCCCGCCACCCACCGACACACCGGCATTCCCAGCGCCCTCCTCTCTCTCCGACGTGCTCGGCAGACTCCTCTGCGGCGGGGGCAGTGGCGGCAGCCCGGGGGTGGCCGGCTCGTTGGTCGCGCCAGACGACGCCTTGTCGTGGTCGTTGGGGGTGGAGGTGCGTGTGAGTGGGGGAGAGGGGGCGATAGGGGGCTTGGGGTTGCGCAGGGGGGAGGGGAGGGCGGCTGATGGGGGGGATGCCGGCATTCCGCCGGCGGCTTGGGGGGGTTGGCGGTGGTGGGGGTGCGGGTGGGATGAGAGGATATCTGGCGGAAAGAGTGGGTGTGCGGTGCCCTGTGAGAATTCCTCCTGATTGGCGCCGCAGGCCGCCCCGTCCACCGACGGGCTGAGTGCCGACTTGTGTGAGCTGCCGTAGCGCACCTCGCTGAAGAGCACCACAGTGGCGAAGTTGGGGAGGTACACGCAGAGGAAGTCCAGGTTGGTCGACCGGTGGAAGGCCTCCACGTGGTCGAGCAGCAGCTTCTTGCCCAGCTGGTCGACCCACGGGTGCACGGCCGGAATGTGCCCACGGAAATAGAAATCCAGCAGCTTGTCGAACCGCAGCACGGCCGCCAGCTCCCCCGTCGTGTCGGCCTGACACGCCAGCTCAGTCGAGTGCCGCTGCGGGTCGACCAATGCCGGTATCGGTACAGTCCCATTGATGGCTGTTGCCACACCGATGGGCTCAAGGTAGACGAGCTGTCTGCTCTGGCGCAACACGCCCTTGTCCGAGAAGAGCGGCAGTACGGCCCTTCCCAGTGGCTGCTGGTTGTCCAGGCGGTAGACGGTGAAGGCCACGGAGCTGTCGAAAGGGAGATCCCTGACCTTGAGAGGGAAGCTCACGAAGTGCCCATACTCGCCGGTCGTCAGATGGCCGCCCGACATGGAGGCGTTGAGAATCGACGTCGACGTGATGACGGGCGGGCCGAAGGGCTTCTTGTCGCAGTAGAGCTGAGCCGCAACACGAAAGCCGTAGGCGTGTTGCTGCTGCTGCTGGTGGCCGTGTTGCGCAGCCATGTGGTGCCTTCGGTGGGAGAAGTAGAGGCGGTCGACTTTGATGCGGAACTGCACGTTGATGTCGCAGCTGTAGTGGAACAACAGGTCCTTGGTGTGGTGGGGAAACGACTGGCCGGGGAGGACGCCAGCAGCAGTCGCACCAGACGCCATGACTACCAGACAAAGGATGAGATGGATGGATAGCAACGAGGTCAGATCACCATTGATGAGGCTCAGGCTGCGGCGATTTGACGCCGCGTCTTCACTGGGGATGAACCCAGTAGTCTTGTGATGGCTCCTGCAGGCCTTTTCGACGCTTTTTCGGAACTGCGGATCTCCCTTGAGCTCGCAAAAGTTTGAGGATTGAATGGAGTGACCGCGGGAGCCGAGGCGTTAGGAAGGCATTGGTGAAGAGTCAAGAGCAGTAGGCAGCAAAAAGAAAAGGCGAAAGAAATGCTTTGACGCATCTCTGTGAGTGTGTGTGTTGGGCGTGTGCAGGCAGGTTTCCTTCCTTCATTTGTCTGTCATCTGGAGATGGGCAACTCGTTCTGCACTTACAAGTATGTGCAGATCTACGACCGCACACTGGGGCTGCTGTACATCGGCAGCTATGTCCTGGTGAGCATCTACCTGCTCATCGATGTGGTGCTGTTGAAGGGTTATCTTGACATGGACGGCATCACTGGCACTCTCAGGTGAAGGAGCAGCTGAGCCCATCGAGCATCCATCCATCCATCCATCTGTTCGTGTGTCTGTCATATAGAGTGAAGCCGAAGCGCTATCACTACACCCAGCAGCAGCCAGACGCCTCTCCCCCCTTCTGCATGCCCCCAGCCGCGTGTGAGCACCACTGGGACGAGTACGACATGACCGACGTCGGCTCTCACGACTCGAGCATCTTCGTGACGACCTTCGTCAAGGACACACGAGAGGGGCGGAATGAGACCGATGACGACTACACCGAACTGTCGGAGCGGATGTTCTTTGTGGCGGGCGTGGACGACCTGGTCGGTACGCCTCAAGCAAGCTACAGAGAGAGAGAGCCATGTTGGCGGGAAATTGTTGTTGTTGTCTTGCTTAGGTGTTGAAGATCGAGCATTCGTTCCATACCGATCGGCATGATGAGGGCTACTCTCAGAGGGCAATGAAGGGCCGGGCACCGTTCCACCCCTTCGTCTTGGACGAGTCAGGCCCTGACAAGGCACGTCGTTTCTCCAAGACACAGACACACACGCACGACACACACACATGCGTGCAGCCCCCTATTTCTGTGTGTGTCGGTTGCTGAATGGAATGCTCACACAGGTGACTGTGCGTGACCTTGTGTCTGCGTGTGGTGTCTCTCTGGATGGGGCGAGCGACGCCCACAACGCCAAGAACCAGACTGTGCGGCAGAGAGGCGTGGTCCTGCTCGTGCGCATCACGTACGCAAACACGGGGCTGTTCGGCGTGCTCGCGCAGCCCACTTACAGGTGAAAGATTGACACATTTGTCGGTGCACACACACCGACGGGGTGCACTGCACCCACCAGCTGTGGGCTGTGCTGTGCTGTACCGTCTTGTGTGTGTAGGTATGATTGCGCCCACATTGCCCATTCCGACTACCACGTCGCTCAGCGCCTCTCGTCAACCAACGGCAACGGCAACACCACCCACACCCACAGTCACCCCCACACCCACACACGGCATCTTCGGAAGCGATATGGCCTGCGAGTGGTCTGCTCGCAGTCTGGGCGCATCGGCTATGTGTCGAGCAGAGCAGTGGTGCTGCGAATTGTGAGTGGGGTGGGGCTGTTCACGCTCGCTGCCTGGATGGTCGAGCTGCTCGCGTTTTATGTCCTGCCTAAACGCGGCGAGTTCACAAGGTGCATGGTGGAAGAGACCAGGCCTTCTCCTACCGGGGGCAGGGAGAAGGCAGAATAATGAGTGCAGTGCGAGAGGGCAATTGTGGGAGGGAGAGCTGTGGCTCGGTGACAGTGTAAGTTATGTGACGTTTTATGAGGTACCTGAGTGAGATGACATTTATATAGATAGCATGCGAGTCAGTCACGGTATTGGAGCACTCACGCATCGATCCCTGCCATGCATTGCATCCAGCAGTCTATCAACAAGAGCGAGGGCACTGCACACACTCGTCCATGGAGCGACACACATGAAACAAAACACCATCGCTATCCATTGCCCACCTGCAGTCATATCGAAGGAAGGACGCACACACACGTAAGAAGAGATCAGAGCATGAGCATTCTCATCGATCGCCAAGGGGGCCGACGACGGCCTCAAACACGTCCGCCAGCTAATCCGACTCATGCAGTACTGTACTGCACGAGTCGCATAACCTCACGGCCGTGCTCGACACCGTCGGCGAGCCCATTCTAGCCACTAGACACAGACCAACCAACGGATCCATCTCCATCTGCCCCCATTCATCAGACCCGCCCTGCTGTCTCAGCCGCCCATCCAGGTACTCGCGGAACCGCCTTGATTTGCCTGGTGCCGCCGGCCGTCCATTTCGCTCTTGAAGTGTATGCCGACCCCCAACACATCGTACGCCCTCAGCACCTCCGCGGCGGCCGGCGGGGCTGGCACGCGGGAGTACCGGTCGTCGAGCTCGTCGACAATCTCCTGCAGCGCCGTGTAATAGCGGTAGTCCTCTGAGCCGCTCCGCCGGTTGTCCATGTCACGCGCCTTGCTGCGGTACTTCTGCACGATGCCCTCCCACTCCTCTGCTGCGCCGTTGGGCGACGTGTCCCAGTAGTGCTGCTGCACCAGCTCCGACACCTCCTCCAGCACACTTCAGGGGGCAGCTGACGACGGCTGCTGAGACAACAGGCCTGAACACGCTTCTTTCGCCTTTAGACGCCTGCTGCTGCTGCTGCTGCTGAGGGAGAGAACGCTGTTGCGCCGGCCCATGTGCGGCTGCGGCAGGGAGGGCATCTATGAGGCTCGGACTCCACATAGCCGCCATCCAGACGAAGAATGCGTGAGGGCTGTGCCGAGATGCGCCTTCTGCATCATTGCCGACATCTGAGGAGGCGCCCTCAGCTGACGGAAGACTACCCAAAGATCCCTCCTTCTGTTGATGCCAAAGGGGCGCGCGGATCGTGCGGCGCCTCCTGCGGGCGAGTTGCGTCCTGGATGTGCCGGATCTTGCGCGCCGCATCTTCAATAGCGTCCGCAATTGAAGCTTTTGCAGCGGGAGCTCTTTGGCGGGCAGCCAAGGGCCTTGAAAACAGGCAAAACCTGACGCTGTGGCGAACTCGAAGGCAAGGGAGAGCGCGAGCTATTATGCGAGCTCCACGACGGGTCCTTCCCGATGAGTCAACCTTGCTAGCGGGAGGAGCAGCAGTGAGACCACGGCGAACACGATGACATTAGCGAGTGTGGAGAGAGAGAAGCAGGACGACACAGCTGATCGGCCGCCTTTGGGCAGCGTCCCCTGCGGCAGGGAATGTCAATCCGATGCGTTGCGGCAGTCAGCGGCCATCCACATCGCATCCCTCTCCCTCTATGCCGACCTCCAGCACACCAACGGCGGCATCGATCAACACACTTGGCACCGCGCGAAGCAAGCCCTCGACGCTTTCCGCAACGACATGCAGCTGCCGGGTACCTCGGCCAGTGACCATGACGACGCCGGGCGCAGGGGAACACAGCAGCATCGGCAGCAGGGTCGGCAGGCAATAAGCACCAGTTCATGTGAACCAATGCCCGAGCCGCATGAAAGCGAGTTGAGGGTGAGGGGCAGTGCCAGCACCAGAGCGCCCTCGCCGAACTACGAGGCACCGCTGTGTGTGGCTGCCACAAGCACGATGCTGAAGCCCGAGATCTCTCAGGTGTCGTCGCGCGACAGTGTGGGATGGTTGCAGTGGTGTGCGATGATCTTCATGCATCCGAAACACTACGAGTGCCACGCACCGGAACTGGACGAGGTACGCACACACACAGACGTACGCAGACACACACGTGGGTACGCCCGGCAATGTTTCTTAGTGTGTTCCATTCACTGATTACTGACTGATTTGATCTGTTACTTTGTGTGTTGCCTCTTTCTTTCGTGTTTGTTTGTTTGCTGTTTGCAGACAGTGCAGTTCATGCATCAGGGGACGCCTTTGGAGACCTGGTGGGTGCGTGTGGCCGGGCTGAGCCCCTCCTCTTCCGACAGCCGCCTCGTGCGACAAATATGGCCGATTATCATTCACATCGTTCTCTGGTACGCACCACGCACCGCACCCACACTCAGGGAGGGCACGGACGGGACCAACATACATGCTTTGTGTGTGCATGGGCGGGTGGGTCCACTGTGGGTCCGTCCACACAGGTACGGTGCGATTTGCAATGGGATCATCTTCTTCTACTCTGCGGTCGACCCAGAGTGGTGTGACAGGAGCTACAGCCCCGAGTGGTGCGGCGGCAGAGAGGACCTCCTGCTCTTATTCATGTTCTGGTCAATCGCGCTGGCCGTCGCGGTCGCATACACCGTCTTGCGGGTGCAGTGGGTGAGCGAGCGAGCACACATGATATGCAGAGAGAGAGAGAGAGACAGAGAGAGACGAACACTCTGTGAACCGTGTGTGTACGTTTCCGCTTGACGAATAAGATCTGCCGCGGGAACGCCTTCCTGTATGCGTTGGACTTCATCCGCCGCGAGTGCAAGGACGAGAAGAACCTCCTTAATAGGCTCACGAGGGACGTCAGGAGCAAATTCACGTGGACGATGGTTTTCACGCTCCTTTTCTGGGGGTACTTCTTCTACATTGTACGTACGCCTACACGCACACACACGCACGAACACGCAGATATGTGTGCATATATCTGTGTGTGTTTCAGGGCGTGATATATCGAGTTGCCTTTGCGACGGACAGACAGAAGAAGTATTGGGGTGCGTTTCCCGGTCTGCACACCTGGCCGATCTTTCGCGAGATCAACTCGTACGTCCTCGACGTCGCGTCCACGCTCTTTGAACCATTCATCGGCATGGTATGACATCCCATCCCCAGGGCAAGAACACTCACCTCTCCTTTTTCTCCCTCTGTTGTGTATCTTACTTCATTCATCTCATTATGTGCCTTCAGACTGTGGCCGCCCAGACGGGCATCATATGCACAATTCACCGATCGTCTTTCAACGTCCTCATGTGTGGATCACGCAGGCAGCACGATGCACTCGACCCTGCATTATATCATTCTCCTGATTATCGCAGGTATCACATGCTCAAACGAGACCGACGCATACACCGCAATGGCACTACCGGGGACGACGACGTGGACACGCCCCTTTCGGTGCCGCAACTGATTGAGATGCACCGTTTCCTTGACGGAATGCTCAACAAGTCGTCGCACATCCTGGAGGTCAGTGGCACACACAGAGAGAGCATTGTCGGTTCTCTCGTGTTGGCTCATGGATGTGTGTATATGTATGTGTGTGTGTGTATGTATGTAACAGTTGCCTATTACGGCGATGGGCACGTTGTACTGCATATCCTTCCTGAGCTGTCTGTATCTGCTGCTTTTCCGCCCACCAGTGGGCGAGACCGGCCAGCTGGACCTGTTCTTCGTCATAGTCAGTGCACACGCATCACACACACACACCCACACACACACACACACACACACACGTGTCATATGTTTCTGTGTGTCGTGTGCCTGCAGGTGGCAATCTTCTTCTGCATTGGCGTATGCATGAGCATGATACTTTCCGACACCGCGAAAGTCACCGCCAAGTGTGCGCGGCTTGCCGAAATCGCCTCGTTTGCTTCACGGTCAACGACACGCACACCCACACCCACCAACCCCGGAACGAAGCCCACACATAAAGAAACGATCTGTCTGTCTGTCTCTGTCATGTCCGCATGCAGGCACTATCAACTGTATGGCGAACATCCTCCCCCCAATTCCCCCCAATACGCACGCACCCGCTTGCAAGGCCTTGTCAGCGACCGCACCATGTCAAGAGCGGTCGCAGAATCGATCTCCAAAGGAGCTTGTTCCGCCACAACACGGGAAGTCACAACAGACAAGAACAAGCGGCCAGATATCGGTCGATTCACGAGACGTCTCCTACGTGTGTGGCGGCGAGTAAAGAAGGAGCACAGTGAGAGGAGGGAGGGAGACTTGGAGGCGGGCCTCGACAGAGAGGACACTCTCGGCAGCCGTGTGCATTTGGTGGAGGAGGTGGGCGCTCCTGTGCAGAAGGCGCGAACGCAAGCCGACACTCCCACCGGCAACTTGTCTGAGGCGATGCAACAAATATTGCTCGTGCAATACCTGCAAGCATCAAGTAAGTTCGACCGAGCGTTCGACTGTGTGACTCCACGTATGTGTCTCTGGGTATGTGTGTTGTGTAGATACATCGTGGCGGGTGTATGGTGTGAAGATGACGTCCACTGTACAGGGGAGAATTCTGTACACAGTTGGGACGCTTATCGCCGTGGGCCTGCAGAGGGCCCTATCGACGTCCTTTTCATGAGAGTGGGGTGTGGGAGGAAAAAGGCGAGTTTTGGGTTTTTTATTCAGGGAGCGGGCGAGCCGCAGGCACTCGTCTTATCTCGCTTTTATCTATCTCGTGTCGCTTGTGTCGTGTTTGTGTTTTGAGTGCCTTTTGGTGTCTCTGTGGTAGGTTTTTCGGCCAGAGCTGTATACCTGCAGTCGTAGCGTGTAGGTGTAGGTGTCGATGTGTGTGTACCTTTTTACACACGATCGATCGCATGGTTCCATGCGTGTTTGGCCATTGTGTGGACATTCGATGATACGACGACAGACCCCATGGCGAGAAGGTCCACAGCTGAAACAGTGCGCGTGAGCTCGCGTCACATCATCAATCACATCGTAACATCGCATGCCCCTCGAGTAGTGCTGCGTGTTGCGTCCATGTTGCATGTTGGGGTGGTGTTTTCATGTTGGACACCTTTGGGGGTGTGTGTTGCATGTTAGGGTGCATGTTTTCATTGGACAGGCCGTCTAGGGTGCTCCCTGAAACCGCTGCTGCTGAGCACTGTTGGATCCTGCTCGCCCCCGCGAAGAGCAGGTGTGTTCAGGGAGGCTGCAGACACCGATGCCGGCGAAGATCTGATCAACAAACTCGTGATCTGCGGTGTATGTTCTCTGCAGGTTTGTCCTCCGGCAGTTACGGCATCTGCGGATTCAGCTACGGCTGATGCACGACATCGACTTTGGCTTTGGCTGGCTGCTCTGCGTTCTTACTGTGTTCTTCTGCGAGGGTCGTCTGATCCGCTTCGAGAAGGCATTTGTGAGGAGTCCACAGACTCGACCTCTGCGAATGCAGAAGCTTAACAGTGCAGGTCAGTCAGACAGACACACACGCACACGCCGAGAGAAGCCAGCTTTCGCACATACACCTTCTTCTCTCCATGGTTGTCATTGATTGCTCAGCCACAGCCGAGACTGCGACAGTGCCGCGCACTTTGGCGGATCTCAGAGGCCTCGACCGGCGTGCTCTCGAGGAGCTGTTCCTTAATGGTGACGGCTCGGCGGGCCTCCCCCTTGCCACACCAGGCAGCAAGGCCCTCGCGAAGGGCCTGCCCATCGCTGTGCCCGGCAGGTCGATCTGGGCACGGATGGTCAACGGCATCTGTGGGGCACTGTGGAAGGGCAAAGAGTTCTCGAAGACGGAGGTGGGCAATGGGGAGGAAATCACCTTCACCAATGTCGTCTTGGGGGGTAGACGAGTGTTCAGGTCAGCAGAGAGATGTGTGTGTTTATTGGCGGATTGAATATATGAGTATGGCTTGCTTGCTTCGGCTCAGGGCGCGAGTATACATGTGTGAGAAGAGCCGCGCTGGTGACGGTCGGCCAGTGGTGCTGCTGGACTTCTCGACGGTGGAGGGCAACGCCTTTGGGTCAGGCTTTGTAAGGCGCTGTGTAGACGAGATGCGGTTGGTCAACCCTGAGACGCGGCTGTACATAGGCCAGAGCTACTACAAAGAGAGGCTGGCTGTCTGGTATGGACTACAATTCTCTGTCAGTGAGTGAGTGAATGGCGCTTGGTTTTGCCATGGGAGGTGGGTGAGCATGTGCGTCGTATCGTGGCAGACCAGACCACTGACTGACTGCAACGGCCGATAGATATCAATTCATCGCATGGGCCCATCCGATCCATCGTCAGCTCGTCGTGAATGTATAGCTAGCTAGACACACACAAAAAAAGGCTACGCTGCGGAGGAAGGCTTGGCTAATTGTAAACCAGTCAGTCAGTCAGTCGCAGTCGACGAGCGTGGGGTTGTTGATGTGGTGCTGAGTCGGCGGCACCAATATCGCCTTTACACACACACACACACACACACATTCAGGGGCATGTCTGTCTGCAGTGGGCGGCCGGCTCTCTTGCTGACCTGCGTGTGTGTCTGTTGCTTGAAGAGCTCTTGTGCCTCCTTGAGCTGGTCCTCTGGCACTGACAGGGCCAACACACGCAGAGGGCAGCCCGCCTCACATCGCCGCATGAGCGCCTGTTTAACCCACGGAGAGCAGGGGACACACAATGGGCATTTGACTGACATGACAAACGAGTTACGCCCGCTTAGGTACCTGGAGGAACTTGCGGCCAACGCGGTCGATCCACAGTGGGGACAGATGCCCGTTTGCTGCAGACACGGCCAAACAAAGGCACAAACATGCGGCATCTGTTTGGCCATCCATGTGTGCGACCCCGTGTACCAACCAGTTGCCGTCAGTGATTCCAGGGATGTGTTTCTCTCGACCGCCCGCGCGATGGCCGCCAGCCCGTCAGCGTCAATGCCGCACCGATACAGTTTCAACGTCTGACATGGCACCACACGGACGACATACAGATGGCAGGTGCGCATGGACGGCCGTTGTGTCGGTGAGTGAGGGATACGGAGTGGCTTGGCTGCCGACTGGCTGACCTGTAGATGGCAGGATGGCGATGAGAGGAAGGCCGCGAGCCGCTGGGCGCCCTCGGACGCCAGATGGTTCTCACTCAGCTCTGTTACAATGCCCGGACACACCAACACACGCGCAGCGCACAGAGGCAGACAGACAGTGGTCCATGTCTGTCTGTCTGCCGCTGTCCTTGGCATGCGGTGCGGTGCGCACCTACCGAGTATGGTAAGTCGGTTGTGCTGTGCTGCTTGCAGTGCGTCCAGCAGCACTCCCACGCTCCCATCGACCAAGGCGTTCTGGGCCTGCAGACAGACATGCAACACATACATACACTGACAGCGACTCATCTCATTCAGGCTCTGCCCACCTATTTCACTCACCAGATTGAGCTCCTCCAGTGTGCAGGCCTCACCCATGGCCACCCACTCTGCCAACGGCCGCAGCATCGTTTTGTCCAGCCGATTGGCGGACACGTTGAGCAGCCTGACGGTCCCCTTGCCGGCCAGTGTGGTGACGAAATGCCTCCACTCGTCTATTCCGCCACTGCCATCATTCGCCATCTTCTTGAGTGCGCCGAGGCTGCAGCTCTGGAGCAGGATGCTCTGGATGGATGGCGGCAGGTGGGCGGCCACCAGCGAGGACAGACAGGCGACGGCCGTGGGGCGCTTGAGGGCCGGCGACTCGGAGAACTCGAAGACCTTCAGTGGCAGAGATGACAGATCTGAGTGACACACCAGCCACAACAAACAAACAAACAGCAGCCACAATTAACAACGATGGCGAACCCCGATGCCTTGGCTGCCTCTCTCCTCTCCCACCTGCATGTGTGAGCGCCTGAAGCGCCATCTCGCCGTCATTGATAAACCCCGACAGCCGAAGGCTCACAACGCAGTGCCCCTCGCCGCCCACTCTTATGTCCCGCAGGCACCGAAAGATGCGCCCCATCTCCAACGCACGGAACCGCTCGCCCTCCAGGTGAAGCTCACAGCGCCTGTCGCGCACGACGCGATGAACCAGCTGGCGAATCCTGGCGTCTGCGTCATCCTCGGATGGCGGGCCGTGTGTGTCGCGATGGTGGGGAGGCGGGTGCGGCCGGGGAGGCGGTGGAACAGGGCCCGGAAGGGATGATGAGCTGTCGGTGAGGGATAACTTGGCGGAAACGCCGAAGATCTTCATCGAGAGAGATGATCCACACCCATGTGCACAGGATGCTACGAATTTCCTCCGAGCTTGCGCAGCGGTTTCAGGGAGCACCCTGGGCGGCCTGACGAAGCGCTTGAGCACACTTTTTTCAAGCATCCCCCTTTTCCTGCAACGATGCAGCGACAAGGATCTCTCGTGATCTCCCTCATCCGTGTCCTCCGGTCATGCTGAGGTCTTCTCTGCCAGTGTCGCCATGTGGTTCATTCTTCTCCAGTGGATTCTTCTCGCGGTGAGCCTGCCATCCACTCGTGGAGCATTCATCCCCACACAAGCGACGCGGCATCCCTCCCTCCGACTCATCCCCGCTGACAGGAGGCGACGCACCGGCCTGTCTGTGTCGATGCAAGTGAGCCCTGAGAAGGCCGGCAGAGTGGTGGATGCCGCACTCGGCTACCTCAAGCAACACGAAGCGCCGAGGCCCTTAATTTCGGGTACGCATGCATACCAGGAAGGCAAATCCATGGGCGATTCAGGTGTGAGGGATACGACAGCCTGGCATGTCAGCGACCATTGTGTTGGTGGTGTTCCGTTGGTGTGGTGACTATGGCAGGTACCAGTGATCTGGTCCCATCCCTCATCTCTCGCAGAAACGCGTCTGTCCAACGGTCCCTTCGGCCAAACTTCAAGCTGCGGGGGGCTGGCTTCTCGGCCGCCGACCTGCAGAATGTCTATGGGAGGCACGCCAACGAGTCACCCTTTGGCGTGAAAGACAAGACGATTGTCGATCCCGACGTCCGCATCAGCCGCGAGGTGCCTGCTGAGCAAGTGAATGTGAACGCTCAGAGTGGGCGATGGGAGAACGTCGTAGACGGCATCTGCCGTGCGGTCGAGGAGGAGATGACGCCGGGCTATCGGGTGACTGCAGAGTTCTACAAGGCGCTGATCTATGCTCAGAGTGACCACTTTCGGATCCACAGAGACACACAGCGGAACAAAGAGATGTTTACCTCGCTGCTGGTCTTCCTTCCGACTGAGTACTCTGGGGGAGATTTCCTGCTCTACGATGGGGATGAGTTCGATGGCGAGAGGTTCAACAACGAGACGCGAGCCGCTCTGGAGAGCGGTCAGTGTCGGTGGGTGGCCTTCTTGGCTGACATACCTCATCGAGTGATGCCTGTCGAGTCGGGCCATCGGCTTGTGCTGGCGTACAATCTGCGACGGGAGAGAGTGGCAGTGGAGCCAAAAGCGAGGCCTAGTCCGCTGGCGACGCCACTGCAGGACTTGGTCGACATGCTCAAGGAACATTTCCAGTCGACACAAGAGGACAAAGACGTAAGTAGAGGGGCTTCACCGTACGTAAATGGGTGAATGAGATGCCTTATTTTGCGTGCTGTGCTTGTCCTTCGAGAAATTGAGGGCCAGGCGCTTTGTCTTTCAACTTGAGCATTACTATACGCCCTCGACTGTGGGCCCTGACTTCCTCAAGGGCACCGATGCAGCATTGTGTTATCTTCTAACGGAGCTCTTTAACGTGAGCTTCGAGATGCTGAACGAGGGCATCTCCTATGACGACCCTGCGTCGTATTCGCTAATTGACAACGAGAAGGCCATGGAAGTCCTGCGGATTGGAACAGCTAATGTCACCGATGAGGAGAAAAAGGCGACGTTGAAGGAGTTTTGGGATGATGAGTTCTTAAAACAGCCAGGGAATACCTAGAAGACGAGTACGCGTACGACTACTTCTCTGGTATGCTTGAAAGTGATCATTACTGGGAGGAAATTGGTGATGGCAAGGAGAGGGTCAAGCCTGAGATGCACGGAGAAGTCATCTCTGAGAAAAGAGATGAAGTCGTTGGCAACTGGCGTAGTTTTCTTGATGACGCGCGGAGCCCTCGGGTAAGTTAGCCTCTTATAACATCAGCACAGCTATCGAGGCCTTTCTTTGTCTGTTTGTCTGTGGCTGTGATAGTATTATGACCAGTACGATGAGGGCGATTCGCTTGAGCTACTGAATTGCATTGAGGGCAAAGCAAGTAATGTTGATTATGTATTTTCGGGGCGGAGGCCTGGACGGCATGCATTTGTGCGGCGACCATTTATGCTATGGGGCGGCAACGGTGCGGCCGACTGGTGGTTCCAGTACATATCAGTGTGCCTCGTGGTAAACGGGCTTAAGACTGAGTAGCTCTGTCTGTCCTTCCGCAAATGATATAGACAGATGGATGCATGGCATGTGTGTGTGTGTGTGTGTGTGTGTGGCAATGCATGATGGATGAAAGAGAGGAAACAGGAAAGTGCCTGTTACATGGTCTGGTGCGTTTAATATTGAGTGACGTCATGTGTCTCGGTCTCTTTCATTTAATGGAGGGGATCCAATGTCCATCAAAGATGAGATATTTGTAGGATTCATTGACATGACACGCATGATCCATCACCGGGAACGTACTCGAGCCTGTCAGTCAGTCTACGAACACTGTCTGCTGTATGTACACCCACAATAAGCAACAAGGAAGCCATCGATGGATGGCCGGCTATCTTGCCGACCGACACGCGGCAGGCCGATTCCTCTCTCACACTCAGCCAGCAGCCTCCACGTCTACCCGCGGGCCACACGCGCCATCCCCCAATCAACAAACGGCCTCCCTCCCTGCCGGCCCTCGTCACTCAGTCACTCGCAAGCCCTCTATGGCCACTTTGCGAATCAACGCACAGACGGCCGGTCGGCGTCTGTCTGTCTGTCGTGTGGTGCATCCGATGTGCTGGGCGGCCAGCCATGTGTGTGGCGGCGAAGCAAAGAGGCCGGCTGGGCTATGCTGTCCGGGGCGATGCTACGCGATGGACGGAGTGACGTTATTCACTGCTCGGTCGAGTTTGTAGACCGTTCTGATGTGCCGGACGAGTTGGATGTCTGGCTGAGGGCGGGCGATGATGGCGGGCCACCTATGTGTGGGTGGGGTTGTGGGGGGGG